TGAATGGCAGCCATGGAATTCGGATGAAGGCATCAGTTACTAGTGGATCCTACAGTGGCACAGAATAGGTCAACAAGCAGCTGAGCTGTGACGCAAACAGTCGAAGAGAATGAACATTGTAAGAAGGGAGCGAGCTCCGAGTATCCGCAATGTTGAATTAAGGCTATGGCAACTGGCTTCTGCTAGGCAGAATTAGTGGCTCTAAGAAAGGATTTATCAGTGGCTTGTGAAGCCATATGATTAAGAAGTTTGACCACTACTGAATACTAACTGTTTCGATGAAGAAATCAACATGCGGGCGAAGCTTAGAGGGACAGACTGCAGAAGAAAATGAAGGCTGGATATTCCGGGAGTGGCTCCTTTCAAGCGACATGGAGCCAACATTGACTAGCTGATGTCAAGAAGATTTTACATTAGTAAGAGGAACGACACATAACGGCGTGCTAGGTAGCTGGAGCTGTGTAAAAGCCGGTAAGAAAACTGAAATACAAATACTTATGTGTTACAGATAGGCAAGTGACAGCTGGGCGTCTATCAAGCAGCGGCTGTGCGTTGGCCTGATGACATAAGGAAGGTCAACAGAAGAGAACTAAGAGGGTACAGCAGACATGAAGACTGCAAGCATACAGTGAGTTGTCTGAGTTAGTCACATCACCTGAAGCGAGCTAAAAAAGATTGAGTGAAGAGTGAACAGAAAACGGAATGCATACTACGGTAGACTGAGCCGGAAAAAGCAGATGAGAGAAGTGGACTACAATTGGACTAAATTGGAGCTGAGTGAGATAGGATGGGGAAAACGCTTATATGTGGTCAGGACCATTTTCCCACAGGTCGTCTTCAAGTTTGTTAATACTTAACAGAGTAGAAACCTGACTGACTGTGAGGTACCTATTAAGTGCTGTACGGAAGTGGATTATGTTATCAGATGCCCGCACATTATGTGGAAGCCTATTCCACACATACGCATATCTGTAAAGATAGAAGTTTGCACGGGTACTACTGTGGGCTTTCGGCAGGATAATGGAGTGCGGTCTATTACGAAGAGGGTACGAAATGTTGGCTGATGATAGGAAGGGAGTTATTGAGTTCGCAAGAGACTTATTGATAAGCTGATATAGGAAGATGAGGTTAGTTTTCAGCCTGCGCATCCATAAAGGCTCTAGCACGAGTTTGATGCACCGACCACGATAGCTGAGAGTGGAGTTACCCAGAAGACGTTTGGTAAACGATCGTTGAACCTTTTCAATGGCTACTCTATCGCATTTTCTGGAGTTGGTAAACACAATGGAGCAGTATTCTAGAAGAGGTGGGGCGCAGATTTTGTAGAGAGCAAGCCTAGATTCTTGCAGTGTCATCGATTTAAATATGTAACTTATGAGGGAGCGTGCTTTTGCTGAGCAATGGCTCACTTGCTCTGCGAAGTTCAGAGAACTGGAGTAATGTACACCTAGGTCTCGAACTGTTAGGCTGTTAGCAAGCGGAGTGCCTTGAAGCGCTAACGCCTTGGGCGGAACGATGCATCGGTATGAGAGGACGTTGCATTTCGCCGGTGAAAAATGCCAGGTTCCAATTGTTGCACCAAACATCCAGAGCCCTAAGGTCGCTTTGAATCAGGGAAAGACCGGCTTGCATGTTTGATGGGTGAATGGAAAACACCATTTTTATGTCATCAGCAAACAGATAGGACTTGCCATATTGTATTACCTGGAATACGTCATTGATATATAGCAAGAATAACAGTGGGCCTAGTACGCTGCCCTGAAAAACACCACTTGTGACTGGTTTGGGGAGTGATATAGACTCGTTCACCTTACTGATTGCGTGCGAGATGAGAGATAAGATTGAAACCATGAGAGCAGGCGGTCTGAGATTCCATAGGATTCTAACTTTACTAATAATTCCGCGTGTGGCACTCTGTCAAAAGCTTTTCTCATATCAAGGAAGATAATGACTAGTGCTTGTTTAGCCTCAATCTGCGCAGTCACATTGTTAAGAAACTCAAATTGGCAAGTCTGACAAGATTTGGACGGTAAAAATCCGTGTTGTTGTCTATTGATAAGGTTGCGACTAAGCAGAAAGTTCAGCAGGTTCTCCTTAACAATCCTTTCCATTACTCTGGAGGCAATAGGCGTATGGCTGATGGGGCGGTAGTTTTCTACGTTTGACGGCTACCTTGTTTATGTCTAGGGATGACTATAGAATGCTTCCACGTGTTTGGATAGACGGCGAATTGCATTGAGAGTGTAAATAAGTTAAGCAGCAGGACAGGAATGTCCTGACAACCCGAGTATCAGCAGTGCAGATGGGAGACCATCAGGGCCAGGGTGTAGTGATAGCTTAAGTGATCTGATTACTCGGGTTATGGAACGTAGGTCGAAGGTAATAATGTCTAGCGAGTCGTGGGTAAGTTTGGGCACAGCAGTTGGCAAGATCGGTTGATGTCAGTGAAGCAATCACAGAAGTGGCGATTGAAACTCTCAGCTATTTCCTTAGGATCGCTGATTACGGACTCATCAGAGAGTCTTAGGGAGGTGATGGATGCTGCTGTGCGATTGTTTCTATATTTCAATAGCTGAGTGAGGGACTTGGATTTATTGTGGCTGTTATAGGCGGCGCGATCTTCAGCTAGCTTAACCATCACCTGAGAGTGCTGCCAGTTGTCTATGACTCTGTTCATGCGAACAAGTATATGGGAAATCATGCGTCTTAGAGTATTAATAGGCGCATTTTACGGCGTACATGCTTCATCAGCACCGTGTTTAGATGGGATAAACGCTTTATCAGTTTTGACCTGCGGCTGTGCTCATGAGCGGAAAGCGACCACGTCTAGACAGATTGGCGACTGTTGTGTTGAAGAGTACATGAGGGGCTGTGTCCGCCCATCATGTGGACAAGAAGAAGGTATCCCAGTTAGATGATCGGGACAAGTCGGAGGAAAAGTTATCCAGTTAATGGCGTTTTAAGACATTCCGCGATTCACCAGTTAGTCTAGTTGAGCGATAGGATGAGGCAGAGAGCGGTAAATGAAATAAAGTGTAACTACCGATAGGTGTGTCTCTGTCCTGGGGATGTTGTCTTTAATGCTAGGTAACAGCAGCCAAGATGCCAAGCGTAAGAAATTGATTAGTCAAGATTTACAGCAGCCGTCGTCGGAACATGGACAGTTTTGAATCCAATTGTTCGATAGATGGTGTCAACAAAGCCTCTGTATTTGAGAGGTGCACTCTGGCCATTCTGGGGGGGGGGTGGGCGGGGGGGGGGGGGGGTGGGGGGGGGGAGGGAGTGGTGGGGGGGGGGGGGGGGGGGGGGGGGGGGGGGGGGGGGGGGGGGGGGGATTTTGTTTAGGGGGGTGGGGGCGGGGGGGGATGTATTGGGGGGGGGGGGGGGGGGGGTTGTGAGTGGGGGGTGTAGGGTTTTGTTTTTTTTTGGGGGGGGGGGGGTTGTTGGGGGGGGTATGGGGTGTATGTCGTTTGGGGATAATAAAAGTGAGGGTGAGGGGGTATGGGGGGGGTGGAGATGGGTGTGGGGTAGTGGAAGGTTGAGGGTGATGTGATGGGGGGGGGGGTGGGTGTAATTAATTGTGGTGGGAATTGGTGGGTAAAAAGGGGGGGTGTGTGAAATGGGTTGAAGTGGGGGGGGTTGGGGGGATATGGATTGGATGTATAATTTGAGGAAAGGTTGTGTGTGGTTGGGATTAAGAAGAAAGGGAGGGGGGGGGGGAGTGAATTGGGATGATGTGTGGTGTACAGGGGGTGGTGGGGAGGGGGTGTGGATGGTGGGTGAGGTGTTTGGGTGGGAAAGGGGGTTGGGTGATTAAGTAGTGGGGTGTGTGAGTGTGGTGATTTGGTCATTGGGGTGGATGGGGCGGGGGGTGTGTGGTGTGTAGTTGTTTAGGATGGGTAGGGGAGGGTATTTGTTGTGGGTGTGTGGTGGAGGGGGAATGGTTGTGAAATGATGTATTTTAGGGTTGGTGTAAGTTATGTGATGGAAGAGGTTATAGTAATGAAGGATTATATAGGGGGCAGTTAGGAAATAAAAAGAGGATGGGAGGGTGGCATTATGAGGTGGAGTGAAAATAGGTTTTTAGTGATAAAAAAGGGGGTATATTGGGAGGGTGTTGGTAGAAGGAGATATATGCTTCGGGAAAGGAATGGGGTCTAACGGCTCATTCCTTTGCGCAGGAACTTTTATACTGCCACGTAAGGAGGTTGTTGTAGTAGGAGCATTACCATTTTCGTCGGCATGTAGATCATGCGGCAGTTTATTGTCAGTTCCTGTGCATGGTTGGGTTGGTGGCAATAAGACGGAGATGGGGGGCTAATGGGGTCCCTAGGATGGACCGAGAGTGGATGGATGGAACATCGCGATGGGAAAAAGACCGGAACAACAATGTACTTTGAGGGCGAAAGCGGATCGTCATATGAGAGCTTTGACTGCGGGCAAACGTAGGCAATTAACATTTTCGTGGGAGAGAAGGAGGGCAGCGTGGTGTTGGGGGAGATAGAGTTGCGTATATCAGGTGAACGCTGCGCATATGTGAGACCAGGGGGTGACAAAATTTGATACTGCTGAGTATTTGCCATCGAAATGCCAAGAGGAAACTTGGGAATTGCTGGATCTACCCGAATGGCTGAAACCAGCGGTTTGGAGAGGGGCTGAAACCAGCGGTTTGGAGGGGGCTGTAATGAACATAGAAGATTGCGGAGATAAAGTAGGGAAGGCGCTAGCTCTTGATGAGTTGGGTGCAGTGGACCATACCCTGTAGTGTCCCATAAAAAAGGGACGGTGGTATAGGGGGCCGTGTTGTGTGCGGTTATGTCATGTAGATTCACAAACTGGGGTTGTCCAGATTTTGGAAAGTGGTTGTTTATAGTGGCGCCTGCAGCTTTGGTACTTCTTGTACGATGGGGAGTACCGTAAGAACTATGGCCAGGAATAGATGGTATCGAGCCAGGTGTGTTGGGCGATTGTTGGTAAGTCGGGGCGCGGGCTCCTAACTTGGGAGCTTCAAGTAGGTAACGGTTTACTCGTGGCTGTTGTAGCCTAGCCATGTTCGCAGACCCCATCGACGACTGATATCTTGGGGAAGATGGTTTCTCAGTTGCTGGCTGCCTCGCATGAGTCCAAGCGTTGGCGGGTACCATCCGGTGCTCAGGTTCATTCTTGTTAACATTTTTGTGAAGCTGGGTTACGTGGATCCTGCGGATCTTTGCTCGGTTCGTTGTAGGTGTGGGCAGCAGACACCTTTGGCGTGCATTACAGGGTATAGGCGGATTTCCGCAAGATTCTTCTGCATTATTGCGTTCACTCCTGATGATGGGAGTAATGGGCGAAGCGATAGACAGAGATGCTGGTTCCGTGTCAGTATCGCACATATCAGAGTCACTGTTCGATAACGCTCTGAATGTTTCGCTTTCTGAAAAAGTTGCAGTATCTTGTTTTGAGCCCGATTTGGGTGTAGTCACTTTAGGGGAGACATCCTGTCGTTGTTGTGATGCATCTAAATCAACAGTACACAGTGGTGTAAAGCAGGTGACAAGCGATGCATCTTTAGTTTTGGGTCGGGCTTTCATGTTGGATGTTGATGTAGAGGTACGTGCCATTGATCTTTGCAGGGGGGTCATGTCTTCTCTGATCTGTAGAGCCCCGAAATTAACCTGTTGTTTGATGAGAAAGCTGGAGGCCATGAAGCGTGATGCAAGCTCAGGACCTATAAATCTAAGCATGACAGGACAAGTACGTCCGGGAATCTTTCTTAATCGTTTAGCAGTGCAGCAATCTAACGGCAGCTTGCAGACGTTTAGAAGCTTGCGTAGCAAATTTCCAAGTGGTAACCGGTCAGGGACATTAAATAGTATGGCATTACTGGCGCGGCGCAAACGCTCTTTTGCCTCTTGGGCAATTACGTTCAGAAGCATACCAGCTTGGTTTAGATCTGATGAGTTTTGCGGCTTTAGTATGCCCGATAGGTGTACTAGGGGCATCACCTTCATCAAGGTCTCATTGATGTTCTGTATGTCGCTTTTTAGCGAATTCACTTGGTTTTCAAGTGCGTGTATTTTTAGCATCGCTTCATTAAGAGGGTCATTAAGCATGACCTTACATTCCTGAGAAGGAATGATAGCGGCTATGTCAGGAATTGATGCATGATTTACAAGCTCTATATTACCAATCCCTGTGCTGGAACTATTGGCCACCACGATGGTGTCAATTTGGTCCATGTGTTCGACATCGCCCACATCCGCTAAAGCCGAGTTGTCTTTAACAGTGTGGACTGTAGCCGGTTTCACTCTTTGTCTGTTACGCCTCATAGCTGCGAGACGTTTAGGTACCATGATACAGAAAAATGGAGCACTATACCACAACGTTACAAGTGAGGACTTGGACAAAAGTCCAAAAGAAAACCCGATGTACGGTTATAAGATGACGGTGTGATATAATTAAATATCACAAACGGTATGATAGGGTTAATGGAAGCGATATAGCAAAACTGAATAGCCAACCAAAAATTTTCGACTTATTCGAATTTACCGCGGGTGTGTGTCTAGACCATTTGTGTCTCTGTAGCATAGAAGCAATCAGAGATAAGGAACTAGAGTCTTGGCAGGGCACTGAGAGGTGGCCGTTCGATTGAGGAAGGAAGGAAAGCTACAAGCGCCATAATGAAAGTACCGAGTCAAGATAAATGGTGAAGAAACTAAGGAGGCATATATAGCGATCCGTCAACCAAACCTTGACCGTTATCGTAACGGTGTTTTGAGATAGTTAGGAGAGTAAAAGATCTTTAAGGCGATGCTTGATTAATCGGCGTACAAGGAAGACAGAGTGCGAAGTACGGAAATAACAAGGGCAGAATCGAGAGCTTTACTGATTAAAAGGAGCTATACTAATAGTGTGTAAGCTAATCCAGCAAAGTTCTCGGGGTGAGGGAATCGGTGCGTTGGATATATAATGCCTAGATCATTTAGGTCTCGGTAGTATGGATACAGTCAGAAAACAGGGGACTGGTCAGATGAGATTAGATTAGGGTAAGGTACAGAGTTGTCTGTCTAATTAAAGAAACGCAACCAGACATGACGACAAGGATCGGGCAGGGTAGGGATGAGAACGGTTTTATTGATAAAGGGTGTAAAAGTTGACGAGGCTTCCGAAGGAATTTGAATAGTTTCTTAGATCAACCAACACAAAAGAGGCGTGGTCTCAGTAGTCTGAATGAATCCGGAGAGCAGGAGGCGGATCTGGAAAGACCAGATTACTCGGTGTGTTAGGATTAGGACGTACAATAAAGATGGGAAGAGATCTATTACAGTAAAGGGTGAATGGGTCTATGAGGCTCATAGAGTTAATAAGTAAATAAGGGTCAAGCCATTCTTGAAGGCGCTTGAGTTGTGGGGAACACAGCACTGAGTCAACAGAGCCCAGCGTGTTTGTATCTTTGTGGTTTTATAGACGGTCAGAGGGAAGTAGACTGGTCGGATGAGACTCAGTCGGGGCAGGGTACTGAGAGTTAGCAGTTCGATGGAAGGAGGAATGGCGACAGCAAATTACGGAAATAATAGGATCAGAATGAAGAACTCTTTACTGATTAGGAGTAGGTAAGCCAACGATACTCTCCAAGGTAATGTGGACAAGGTATTTGGTCTGCTTAATTTTGGCCGGTAACGTCAAAATAGTCAGCGTGGTAAGAAAGCAGGGGCCGAAATACACGAGGCTGTATCAGTCGGCACGTTGAACCTAGCAGTACAGTTAAGTTGGGAAGGTAGAATAGAGAGTGCCAGCAGAAATGGACATGTTCGATATGAGAGAGTTTAAATTAGTTAGGTATAATCACTCGAGTTGAGGGAAATATTTTTTTGGTTGTGCCGAGTCTATGCCGTTTACAGCTCGGTACTTAGTAGGCAGTCAGAAAGTAGGAGACTGGTCGGAGGAAACTAGGTCAACACACAGCGCTGGGTTACTGATAAAGTGGGGAAAGGCAACAGGTGGGGGAGCAGGGTGTTCGGCCTTCTGAACAATGACCGGTACCGTCACAATATGCCGAGAGGGTCAGCAGAAATGGACAGGTTAGAGGTGGTTTTTCTCGACTATACGAGGCACGACCATGGAGGCATGACCATGTAGGTGCAACTGTACAGAGATTTTGTGGCAGTTGTAAAGGTGACAGTTAAAAATTGTTCAACCGTTTATGATGGAACATGTAAAATGGTGTAAACGTGAAAACTTAATTTGGTTGTCCTGAGATCGGGAACCGTTCGTAAAGACATACTCAATCTGCCACACATTGCCGTCATACATCAGCCAATAATGGCTCAAGAATCCCGAATAATCGATTAGAGGACGATTAACGAAAAAGGACGAAAAATTTGGGATGATATACTGAGTTCGTGTGTAGGTAACGCAAAGCGCAACCGTGAAATCGTAGGAAGAAATGAGGCGACATTACATGCAGAAGTAGAAGTGCCAGTGCAACGAAAGTAGCAAGAATGGTAAAATGTCTCGCTTGTTGACCCGCCAGTGCCAAGTCATAAGCTATGGCTTTATTCGGTAACCAGT